TGTGTATAGAGATGGTAGTTTGATGATAAGTGCAACAACTAGCAGACCTGTAAAAAACATGGTGTGTTCAGTCAGCTCGTTTGGAGATGGTGTGTTTGCCACAGGCTCCTATAACTTGTGTTAGCCACGTTGTCAGATTGACAGAATGAGATCACCAGACAACAGATGCTGAAAAGATTAAAAATCGTTTGTTAGAGTTGATTAATATTTAATTTAGAAAAGCTGTATTTTAACCCTTTATTTACGGAGTTAGGTCAGTGGCGGAACTAGAAAAAAAGGGCCACCCCGCAAAGAATTTTTTTTGGGCCCCATATATATATATATATATATATATATATATATATATATATATATATATATATATATGTATATATATATATATGTATATATATATATATATATATATATATATACGAAAATATGATACATAGAATACTCATTTCGGGCTTGTTCGAGTTTTTTAAAAAATAATTAAAAATACTTAGTTTTTATTAAAAAGTAAAAACAAGTTACACCACTTCATTTGTGTGACTGCTATTAGTTCTAGTCTGTTAAAAAAATCTCCGTTTTAATATGTTTGCTATAATGCCTCCAATGAATACGTCAGTCGAAATAATATGAAACATGAAAGCTGTGTATGTGTAATGTTTTTTTAATGTTTTTTCTTGTATCTATATTATTAGTTTTAAATACATTTCTGTTTTATGCTTTTTCATTCTTTATTATGTATTTTTTTAAATAATTAAGAGAAGTAATTGCTTTTTAATTTGTTTAATGCAAATCTATTAAAAGGTGATTAAGAGCACACATATTTGACTATTTAAAAAAGGGAAATAAGTCATGGAAGTGGTTTGAACATTTGCGTATCTTTCACACGATGGATTTATTTTCAAAAGAAATTTGCCGACAACAGCATGTTTGATTGTAGGAGAAAGAGGACTCGAGATGGTGTCTATAGAATAAAGATAATCAAATAGCAGCTGCAGTATTCTTTTTACAAAACATCCATCAAGTCAAAAATGCAAGAAGATTTTTTTTTTAACTGTAAAAAAATTGATTATGGTCGGCTGCGGGCCCCTAAACGTCCTGGGCCCACCCGCAATGCGGGGTCTGGCGGCACTGTAGTTCCGCCCCTGAGTTAGGTTCTGAATGAAATTTTTCTTTAAACAATGTGTTAGCATATTGCTTTTGGCACATTTAAAGCATATGTCAAAGGCAATTTCGTTTAAATAATTTTTAATGGCCCAATAGATATTGGTACTTATTATATGACTTTTTCCAAAAAAAAATTGTTTTTACAAATCAGGAACAAACGATACAATTTATTAACTAATAACATGGCAATCATTATAACAATCATTTTTTTTTTGTAATTTTCACACATAAATACAGCACAAAAGTATATTTAGAGTACAATTTTTACTGGATTTTCTATCGGAACACATCTTAGACCTCAAACACAGCAACAGTTGCCGACATGTCATGCTCCCTCATTGTTGTCTGTGGTCTTTCTGGTGTAGCAACGGTTGCCGGACTGAACATGCTTTTTCTGGAAGCTTCTAACAGCTATTACAACGAGCCGCATAAACAAACAAAAGCCTAGTCATTCAGTACACAACTACTAGTAATACTAGTATAATTGTAGCCTACTAGAATGTTATGACAAGTCTACACTACAGTGTAAAGTTCATCAATAGAAGTGAGCTCAATGTGTTTAGGATAGCCGTAGTGGCCTGTTGTTTTCTGTTTACTGATTAAAATTTACCATATAGAATATAGATCTATACTATAAGCAGAAGTATGGATTATTACTAGTCTACAGGTATAAATTACGTGAATGCTAGTTATTGTAGACAAGACAGTTGATTGCAGTAAATATAACTAACAAATTAAATCTGAGTACCGGAACTAGGCTTTGGTATACAAATGAAGTATACTAAACCTAGTAAACGAGCCTGCAACTGCTTCTTTTATTCTTGTTATTCTTTTACCACTAGAAATCAACAACTACACTTACCCTTACCCTTATCTTGAACCAAAACCATTACCGAATATTTTCTTCTTCTTTCGGGTCATTCATTTATGACGCCCACCCCCCCAGTCCACACAAAAGTCGATTTTTTGGACCCCCCCCACCCTAGGGTAAATGCAAAGTTACTCCTAAAAATATAGAGTACGCACAATGTGTAATAAAAAGCTTTTATAAGTAAGGAATCACTATCTAACTGTGCTATGTAACATTTACATAATCCACCTCACTCTTAACATCCACCAAGTAGATCGGGTTTTCACAGTCAAGTTGACAAAGTTGACAAAGTCGATTAATGAACTTCAATCCAATGGAAAAACTATTAAGATATCTATAGAATCGTGTCCATATAAACTTGCATAAAGTCTATCAAAACGGAAACCATAAAAAAATACAAACATGCATGTAGGCTGTCAACACACAAACCATACAAACTGGCATATAGACGATGAGCAAAAAAACTAAACAAACATGCATGTAGGCTGTCAACCTGTTGGTCTAATCAACCAACTAAAGAAAACACGTAACATTGCAGATTGTTGAAGCTGAAATAGAGAATTTGATGTACATTTTCGTATATAGCTTGCATGTTTACCTTAACCCATCGACCTAGGTTTAATTTTACATCATCTTCTAGAATAGATCTTGCTAAATTAAACTCCAATCTACTCTGACCTTATTAAACCAGCTGTTTCCATATAACCCGTATAGGTATTCGTGTGCTGTGGTCAGAGGTCGAAATGTCCTACAAGCCTTTACCTCAAGCACATGCTGGAGACATTGAGAGATCTACTGGCTGCCGCACTCATTATCAATACTCGGTTTTTCTGACCATGCACAGCACAGTTAGATAGTGATTCCTTACTTATAAAAGCTTTTTATTACACATTGTGCGTACTCTATATTTTTAGGAGTAACTTTGCATTTACCCTAGGGGGGGGGGGGGTCCAAAAAATCGACTTTTGTGTGGACTGGGGGGGTGGGCGTCATATATGAATGACCCGAAAGAAGAAGAAAATATTCGGTAATGGTTTTGGTTCAAGATAAGGGTAAGGGTAAGTGTAGTTGTTGATTTCTAGTGGTAAAAGAATAACAAGATTAAAAGAAGCAGTTGCAGGCTCGTTTACTAGGTTTAGTATACTTCATTTGTATACCAAAGCCTAGTTCCGGTACTCAGATTTAATTTGTTAGTTATATTTACTGCAATCAACTGTCTTGTCTACAATAACTAGCATTCACGTAATTTATACCTGTAGACTAGTAATAATCCATACTTCTGCTTATAGTATAGATCTATATTCTATATGGTAAATTTTAATCAGTAAACAGAAAACAACAGGCCACTACGGCTATCCTAAACACATTGAGCTCACTTCTATTGATGAACTTTACACTGTAGTGTAGACTTGTCATAACATTCTAGTAGGCTACAATTATACTAGTATTACTAGTAGTTGTGTACTGAATGACTAGGCTTTTGTTTGTTTATGCGGCTCGTTGTAATAGCTGTTAGAAGCTTCCAGAAAAAGCATGTTCAGTCCGGCAACCGTTGCTACACCAGAAAGACCACAGACAACAATGAGGGAGCATGACATGTCGGCAACTGTTGCTGTGTTTGAGGTCTAAGATGTGTTCCGATAGAAAATCCAGTAAAAATTGTACTCTAAATATACTTTTGTGCTGTATTTATGTGTGAAAATTACAAAAAAAATGATTGTTATAATGATTGCCATGTTATTAGTTAATAAATTGTATCGTTTGTTCCTGATTTGTAAAAACAATTTTTTTTGGAAAAAGTCATATAATAAGTACCAATATCTATTGGGCCATTAAAAATTATTTAAACGAAATTGCCTTTGACATATGCTTTAAATGTGCCAAAAGCAATATGCTAACACATTGTTTAAGAAAAAATTTCATTCAGAACCTAACTCAGGGGCGGAACTACAGTGCCGCCAGACCCCGCATTGCGGGTGGGCCCAGGACGTTTAGGGGCCCGCAGCCGACCATAATCAATTTTTTTACAGTTAAAAAAAAATCTTCTTGCATTTTTGACTTGATGGATGTTTTGTAAAAAGAATACTGCAGCTGCTATTTGATTATCTTTATTCTATAGACACCATCTCGAGTCCTCTTTCTCCTACAATCAAACATGCTGTTGTCGGCAAATTTCTTTTGAAAATAAATCCATCGTGTGAAAGATACGCAAATGTTCAAACCACTTCCATGACTTATTTCCCTTTTTTAAATAGTCAAATATGTGTGCTCTTAATCACCTTTTAATAGATTTGCATTAAACAAATTAAAAAGCAATTACTTCTCTTAATTATTTAAAAAAATACATAATAAAGAATGAAAAAGCATAAAACAGAAATGTATTTAAAACTAATAATATAGATACAAGAAAAAACATAAAAAAAACATTACACATACACAGCTTTCATGTTTCATATTATTTCGACTGACGTATTCATTGGAGGCATTATAGCAAACATATTAAAACACAAATGAAGTGGTGTAACTTGTTTTTACTTTTTAATAGAAACTAAGTATTTTTAATTATTTTTTAAAAAACTCGAACAAGCCCGAAATGAGTATTCTATGTATCATATTTTCGTATATATATATATATATATATATATATATATATATATATATATATATATATATATATATATATATATATATATATATATATATATATATATATATATATATATATATATATATATATATATATATATATATATATATATATATATATATATATATATATATATATATATATATATATATATATATTCTTTGCGGGGTGGCCCTTTTTTTCTAGTTCCGCCACTGACCTAACTCCGTAAATAAAGGGTTAAAATACAGCTTTTCTAAATTAAATATTAATCAACTCTAACAAACGATTTTTAATCTTTTCAGCATCTGTTGTCTGGTGATCTCATTCTGTCAATCTGACAACGTGGCTAACACAAGTTATAGGAGCCTGTGGCAAACACACCATCTCCAAACGAGCTGACTGAACACACCATGTTTTTTACAGGTCTGCTAGTTGTTGCACTTATCATCAAACTACCATCTCTATACACAGGCGCTGAGGGGTTTAAAGGTGAGTCATTGTTTCTTTTACATATATATAAATATATATGTGCCTGTGTGTGTATGTGTATCAGTTGAAAAATAATGTTTGTTTAGAAGTGACTACATATTATACAATAACATGAAGTATAATTAAACAGTCGAGGTAAACATAGGAACCTAATTAGTGTAAGAAAAACCCTTGGTGCTAAGCAAAGAGAGGCTGGCGCAGAGAGGGGAAGTGTACAAAGTAATGGCTTTTTTTTTAATCAAACATTACACATTTTTTAATAGTATTATTATTTTTTTAACTCCAAAACTAGTGGTTTACGATGCACCACGTTGTGAAGTACGAAGGTGTCTGACTCCTCCGGTAAGTTTTTTTTTGTATTTTGTTTCTTGGCCTTCTATCAAACTAAGTTATTAAAATATATTCGATTGAACTATATTAAATTAATATTCTCATTAAAACGGTTTCCGTTCTTAGTTGCTTTTTCTCATTAGAATCAGCACTATATATGTTGTATATTATAATCTATAAAAATATAAATTACATAATTGTTTTAAAGAGTATTATTAATTTTAAAGTTTGAAACCTTAATAACAGAAACCAAAAGCAACTGGTAATACACGTTAAAAATATAGTCAAAAAATTAACAAGAGTAAAAAAAAATTAAAAATCTAAACGACAGCATACTTACTTTCAATACTTCAACACACAAGCACACAAACACATATATATATATATATATATATATATATATATATATATATATATATATATATATATGCTTTATTTAAAAGTGTATTTTAATGCTTGCGTTAATCAATGTAGAAAAGTGAGCTTAGTCATTGTTCGACATTGTTTTAGGCTGCGATTCTAACTGTGATATGTTGTAGACGATACGCTTTTCTTGTGTTAAACTTTCTATTTTGTTAACACAATCCAGATTCTTCATGTATAAATAAGTTTTGTTTGGTAAACTTCTATAATAACAAAATGTATGTGAATCAGAAATCGGTTTGTAATCAAACTTGGCTAATGAGTAACATGTGATGGCGGGTAAGAAATACTAGTTGCATTACTTACACATCAACACCTCCCATTTTTAATATTTAATTTTTTTCTTCATATGCATTGTACTTTGTGGAGTCATAATTGATGTTAGGCACATGTATTTTTGTATGCTATCAATAGTTTTTTTTTGCAAGGACTGTAGTTATCAAAAAGAAACTTATTCAAAGTCGTTTTAAAGTTCGTGGGTTAGGGGGGCTACAGGAATTTAATTATCCACTTAAAACTTTAATAATTGTTGGCAAAGATTGGTTAACTCTTTAGATTAAATCCCAATTATAAATGAAAAAACAACAAACTCACCGAGAAATAAAGCGGGAGTGATCTCTGCTAAACTTTCTTGAATATACTTATATTACACTACGGGGGATTGCAACTCGGGATATAGTCATGATTTTCAATCCATTTTTAATTACTTCAATTTTTTAAATAGAATAGAATATCTTAGAACAAAATATTGCGCAACAAACAAAGGGCAAACAATGGTTATAAAAGTCTGGATTATTAGTAATTACTCAAAATTTGACAAAGGCAGGGATTTAAATCTTTTACTTATATATTAAATTTCGTCTATCTATCCCAAACAGTACTCAAGTTATAGCTTTTCAAAAAACAAAAGTCGAATAAGTTCCACTTCCGGTTACCGGAAATTGCTCAAAAGTTGATACAGAACTACCAATTTTATGTAATACATGTATATGTAATTTCATCAACCTAACTGTTACGGTACTCAAAATATCGTGTTCACAGATACACATACACATATGCACATATACTGACAGAACTGCAAAGCCCAGTATTTCCGACTCGATTACGCACAAAACAGCGAAATTTTGATAAATCTGGATTTAGAATTTTTGCCCGATTAAAATAAGTCCCCTATACTCCGTATATGATAAAAAACTGAGAAGTAAAACTGTGAAAACTGTCATGTGATTTTTGTGTACGATTACCACACTTTCTTTATATTCTGTATAGTAATATAATTAAACCACTTCGGTTTAAAAATTATAAAATGCATGCATGCTGATCAATTTCAAACAAAAATGCATAATTAATTACAAGTAATTCATTTCTTTCCATTTTGATGTATTATTACATAATAGATTATTTATTAAAAACAATGAAGATTATAAAACCATATCCTTTTCTTAAAGGCAGTTTGTGAGAAATTATCAATGAAGCGTTGCTATGCAGAACGGGAACTTATGACAATGTTGGGAAAAAACTTCTTATGCGATACTAAAACTGACGGAGGTGGTTGGATTCTTATCCAGGTATATGTTATAGAGGAACTGTAATTTACGAAAATTGTTTATTTTTATGTCACTTATTATTAATTGTTGAATATTTTAAATTTTTAAACAAAAAACTACCAGCGTCGAATTATACCTGGTGTGGATTTTGTAAAAAACTGGACAGAATACAAACAAGGATTTGGCACGTTAAGTGGTGACTTCTGGATTGGATTGGATTTCATCTACTCGCTAATTACGGTTGGTAAAAAATGATCTGATTTTTAATTACATTTTTACGAAATTAAATGTCAAAACTGTCATACTTCCAAATTGTGTAACCGATGTGTTTGCAGTAAATTTGCTATTGTTTCATTATACACTCAATACCCAAATGAAAATTTGGTAAAGTGGCGTTTTCGAAAAAGCGTATTAAATTTTAATGCGTATTACGCAGTTCTATGTGTACTTGTCTTTACTTTCTCGTATATACGAAGTATAGAGAAAGTATTGTAATCGTGCAAAAAAAAAATCGAGATTTTTACAAATTTCGACGTTTTACATCTCACTGATACGGAAAAACATAATTTTGCAATCTTGTCCGTATGTCTGTGTGTGTGTGTGTGTGTGTGTGTCTGTGTGTAAACACGATTACTAGAGTACCGTTACAGCTAGGTTGATGAAATGTCATATATAAGTATTTTATCAAAATCGTAGATCCGTATCAACTTTTGAGCGATTTCCGATAACAGGAAGTGGTACTTTTTCTACTTTGAATTTTTCAAAAGCCTATAACTTGAGTACTATTTCAGATAAATGAAATTTCACATGTAAGTAAAAGATCTAATTCTCTTTGTTCTGTCAAATTTTGAGTAATTTCCGTTGAAGGGAAGTACTAATTTACGCTATTTCCGATTTCTCAAAAACGCTTCTAAATTATAAAGTATTAATAATATTGTGTATCATTATGAACATCTTTATTCGGCGTTCGCTTGGTGCGCAATACTTTTTTCTATGAGATTCTATTCTATTGTAAAAATTTTAAGTATTTAAAATGGATTAAAAATCATAGCTATATCCCGAGTTCCCATCCCCTGTTGTTTTTATATAAGAATATTCGAGAAAATTTAGGGGAGATCACTCCCGGTTTATTTTAATTAATTTTTCATCACAACACTGAACAATGTTTAGGTGAAGGTGGGCTAATCACGCTTTTTTTGACGAGCCTACTGTTTTTAACGTAAAATTAATTCGAAAACTGATGACACGTATAAGCTTAATGTCAGTAGTAGTATATTAGGTCCCTTTTCGAGCGAATCCGCAGGCGCAGGCGCAGGGTGAGGTGGAGGTGGAGGTGGAACAAAGGCTATATAGGAAAATACTCCCCGCCTGGGGGATGCGAATGTACAATGACATATAGCAAAATACTCCCCCACCAGGGTGAGGTGGGTGAGCCGGATGTACAACGAGATATAGTAAAATACTCCCTGGGGGAGGTGGAGGTACACCGACATATAGTAAAATACTCCCCCGCCTGGGGGAGCAGGGTGAAGGGTGAAGGGTGAGGGTTAGACATGTTATATAGTAAAATACTCCCCCACCTGGCGCAGGGTGAAGGGTGAAGGGTGAGGCGGATGTACAACGAGATATAGTAAAATACTCCCCCACCCTAGAGTGGGGGAGGGTGAGGGGAAGTAGGTCAGTAGGTCACCACAGGTGACCTTGTGATGTAATCTCCGGTGACCTTGTGACGTAATTAGTGACCTTGTGACGTAATTAGTGACCTAGTGTTTTTTAATTAGTTTCAATGAGTTTTTAAAATTTTATTTAATTTTTATTAACGAGTTACGTAATTTGATTATTTGTTTACTTTTTTAATTGTTTAATTTGTTTGTTTACTTGTTGTTTAATTTAATTACTTTGTTTATATTGTGTAATTTTTATTAACGAGTTACGTAATTTGATTTTAATTTTTTAAATTTTTAAATTTTTAATTTAATTTTATAATTAGTTTAATTATTATTATTAACGAGTTACGTAATTTGATTTTAATTTTTTAATTTTTTAAATTTTTTAAAATTTTTAAATTTTTTAAATTATTAATTTAAATTTTATTTTTAATTGTTTACTTGTTTAATTTATTTATTTGATATATTTCTTTTCTTTGATGTATGGTATTTAAAATAAAAGACACTGTTTATTTGAATGTATATATGTTTAAAATAATCTACTAACGCTAGCGTGTACAAAAAAACAGGTTACATTCTTCAACACAACGAACGGTTACCGAAAATAGAACATCCATTTAACCAACCGTCCAACACCTGTTACTTATCGATCCGCCCGTGAACCTCCCCGTCACTGCCCGTTTTTTTATTGGGTATTATATTGATCCCAGCCGCTGGGCCATCACACCTAATTAAATTTTTCGCCGATCGATTTGCCAGGTCATGGTAATTAATGCGAGCCATTAAGTGCCTCTCCGCGTTAAGTGTGGGAACACCTGTTAACACTTTAATGGATTTTACCGATCGATTTGTTAGCTCCGTGAAGCCATCACGTAACAGCTGGTGCTGTAATTACGCTGAACAACCGGACATTACCTTGTTGGGTTTTCTTGTTCTATCAGGCTAACTCTATACATTCATACACAATCACACACACACACAGACACACACAATCACACACACACACACACACTAAAATTAAATCAAAAGTCTTCTTATATTTTATTTATTTATTAACGTTTTTCCAATTCATCAAAGGCTTTTAAAATTTCATCCTGTAAACTCAACAGACGCTCAAAGCAGACGCGACTCATACTAACACCAGAATTTGTAGGAAAATTAAGATCGGTCCCGTCTATAAGCTCTCTAAGATTTAAAGTGTTTTTGTTCATGAATTGGCTAACAATCGCCAATTTAAATCCGGTGTGATTCATCGTTCGTATTTCAGTCACTTTATTGTTACCCCTGGCCACAAGTATCCAATCTTCATTAGACATCTTGAAATAATCTTTTATAATTAGTTCCAATAATTTGAAGTGTTAAACGTAATATAATACGATCGTTAATATATTGACGATTCGCTGACGCCGAAAAGGGTTGTAATATAACTTTTAAATTTGCACCTCGAGCTTTCTTCAAAACAAATTAGGCTGCATATAGCCCACAACTGTTGGTTAGAATATCTTGAAACACTCTTGAATTGTAAACGAGTGGCCTGTTTGAATTATTTTTTATAAAAGACAAAATGGCTGGCTCCCGAGGTGGTAATCCAAAACTATCGAAATAAGTAAATTGCGATAGTCCGTTGAAAAATAGACCAACCCAATGACTCCCTGCCTCCGAGGATGAATCTAGATTGATAATGAACGCCGCTTGCTTCGTTCTATCGAGACGCGCGGGTAACTGATCGCACGCTAAAACAGCAAAGAGAGTTGTGCGTTGCACAAATAAGTCCGCTGCCAGTATACTTTGTAGTTCTCTTGTGTTCATTTTCTTTTATAGGCCGATTTAGGCGGTGTAATCTGTCAGCACTTGCCTCGTTTTCGAAATTTCTAACACCGAATCAAGTTCAGCATACGCAATATCTTGAATCGGGTCAGCTGTAACTTGTGAAAATTTAAGTTCAATAGAAACAGGTCCGGATTTAGCCAATTCAAATTGTTCACCATCCAAAAGACTAGGGCTTAAATCAAAAGCAAACAGGGTATATCCGTTCTTAAAGTTTTTATAATCTATCCCATTCCCAGCATCTTTTCCAACCATACGAGGTTACTATTGAAAAACGCTCTAATGGCTTGTTTCTTATCCAAGTCCATGACCAGTGGTTTTCCCGATAACGAGCGACCATCAACGCTTACATTTAAATACGTCAAGTGAAAATGTTGAAAATTGAAGGGGTTTTTCGTGCAACTGCCATTAAAGGCGGTAGAGGCGACTAGACCGATCACTAAACGGGTGGGTGTTTGACTCATATACAAATTGTCTTGGTTGTGACTTAACATACCTTTCGGTATAGCAAAGGTTTTTATTACAACGCGTTTCAAAGGGTATTTTGCATTTGTTGTCGTTAAAGCCTTTTCGTGTGCGATAGAAATGGCGGGGTTAAGTCTGGCTTTTCTAACCACCAATGTTGCGTACGTTATAACCGCTTTATATCCCTTGTTTGGTTCTGCTGTCAAGAGAGTGAAACTGTCTTTTGCGGGTGTAAGTTTAATTTTAATGTCAACACCATTCAGCATATACCGATCTTGAGCGAAAATGTCAGAGTGTATACGTCCCATCATATCGATCTCATGACTTTCAGCCGCGGTGGTGCGGCGAATCCTATACCCTTCATTATTGTCATCTTTGAATTCCTCGAAATAACACGCTGAGTCCCTGGCATAAAGAGCGGCCGATAGAGACCCATTCTTGGCTTCTTCCCCGTGATTTAACGTAGCCTCCAGATAGGCGCGATACGGATAGGTGTTCTCACTAGCAGTAATTAGCGTATCGTTTAGAGAAATATCCACTTGTGAAAATAAACTGTGCAAAAAATAATTGACGGGTGCGACATCAACGTCCGCTGGTATTGAATCACCATTTGCTAAGGTCACTTTAGCGCGCACGTGTAAATAAGTATTAAACAAATCAAGATAGTCTTCACTGTTGCCAGAAATTGCAAATTCTATAGGTGCACCTTGTGCCAAGGATGCCAGGGGGTGTATTTCAACAAATTGACCCTCCTCGACGGCAGTTTGTGTCGGGGGTGTACTAAATAAATCCAATCCAGAATGTAAGCACTAACATGAACTCGGGTGAATAAGAGCCATGGTTAAGCAAATATATCTGAATACTTGGGATGCTTCTTCTTAACACACGTCTTCGAATGTTTGTGGTTTGGTCTGCGTGTTAGTTTTATCTGTTGTTCGAAGGGTTCACCCGGTGGTCTCGAGAACCCCCGCTTTCTTCTCAACCCGCTTCCTGATTGGTTTTGTCCCAGGTGATCAACGGCGCCTTGCAATAAACGATGTCCGGCTTCCTTGGCGTGTTCTTCAAACGATTCTCCAACGTCTCTTCCCGCTAATGCGTCGTTTGCAACTTGCAACCCGGTACTAACACCTTCTCTGAGTAAAGCCTTACCTCCCGTCTTTATCCAAGGGAGGACCATTCGACCTAGACCACTAAAGAAACTACCAATACCGTGTCCTCTCTGATTTCGGCCACCGATAAAAACAGGTAAACCATCACCGTACTGGTTACAGTAAAAATCCTCGTACAATTTAGGGTTTCGATGTAAAAGTGTGTGTTTCACCATGGTGTGAGTTATTCAAGCTCGAAATGTTTACGTGTTCTAAAATGGAGTGTCAACACTGACGTTCCACTTGCGAATGAGAGCGTTTGTCCCAACTCGTCGCATAAAAGTATTTCTACAGTGTCGAATGAAAAGCGGTTCAGGGGGATGTAGTGGGGTTTGTCGTAAATACGAAAAACGGAACTTGGTTTCTTCTCAACGATCGGTACGGTTCGAAGCAAAGGGACCATGACATCACCAACCGGTCTCGTTTTTACGAGGTCACAATAGACGAATACCGTTTTTACTTCGTCTTCAGGGAGATGTTTCTCCCTAACTGTACCAGGAATATGTAAATAGCCTGTCAACCTGTCACGGATGGTACTTTCTATTCCAGCCGCAATTACCTGTACGACAACTTTCTTAAATCCCTTGTTACAGTTTGAAATTAAAACTTCCACTTTTTGTTCATCAATATCTCTTTTTATTAGTTTTTTAATATTGCTAACAAGCGGGTCTATGTAATTATATTTGGTCTGTCGTAATCCATATATGAAAAGGTTAACGTCTTCACCTTCTGTACTGGAATGATACTGGAGCCAAATTTCATGTTCTCTAAGCATACAAAACGCGTTCGGCATTTGAATCTCGACCAGACAAACTTCTTAGTGTAAACTCACATCGATAGTCTGTGGTAATTTAACGAAAAAATGCCCAGCCTCGTTGTCTGGAAAAACATTCGGTGATGTATTGCTAGGCAAGGTGACATAAAAACTCATTGTAAAATTTTGGTCCTTGCCATGGTTGGGTTAGGTAAAATATATCAGAGACAGCTGGATAACAACACGACCCAAAGTTTTCCCTCTTTGTCGTCGACCGTTCTACGCGTCAGATTAAATAGTGAAAAAGCAATGACAACAAATATAACCAACATTTGAGAGATGAAAACGATTTCCGGTCGTGTCTTTAGTTTATCGAACCAACTCGAAATGGTTGAACCGATAGAAGACGTGGTGGATCTAGGTCTCACCTCGATCCCACCGAACGGTCTGAGCGTTTCTTCCACCACGGGGTCATCCAGACTTAGGCTTTTTACCGTTTCCTCCATCCTTAGTCTTTATATTTCGAAATGTCTCTAGCTGAAATCCAACTGTTGAATGAAGGGTTATAACCGAACCACTTGACTAAATACTCTTTACCACCGACACCCTTTCTTTCTTGTATAATTTGTTCGACGCGGTACACTTTTTTGTCCCCTACTTTCTGAAGCTCCTCTTTGTAAAACGAACCTTTCACTTCTTCACCCGAATCATCTTTCAAGACGTACGTTACAGGCGTTGTCGCGTTCACGCGGCTCACCGTAAACAGTTCTTCCGTCCACGAAGGGGTATAACCCTTTTTAAATGTGTTTCGGCTTTGGCCGATCCGTACACGATCACCTTCGTTGAATACGTTTCGATAAGTAATGTCCCCTGGTTCATATAAAGTATTCCAGACCCTTTCTTGATTAGACAAATTAACATTCACAGGGGCCATACGAATACTCCTATGGTACGAGTGGTTATAGTTGGTGATCAAGTCGTCTACGACATCGATGTAACGAAGACGATTTGTTTTTGTAAAGTACCGCCACATTTTTTCTTTTAATGTGCGATTGAATCTCTCAACTATAGCCGCCTTAATATCTTCATTCTCAGTGGTAAAGAAATGAACGCCCTCATCTTTAAGAAATTTTAAAAATGTCTTGTTGACAAATTCACTACCTTTGTCTGTTTGAAAATTTATTGGTTTTCTAGTCGTAAATATTTTACGTACGGCCTCCGCTAGAGCCTTACCCGTTTTTTTCTTTATCGGAATCGCCCAGGCGAATTTGCTAAACACATCGATGCAGGTCACTAGGTAAGAAGCACCACCATTGTGCTTTCGTAACATGCGCATATCTATGAGATCCGCTTGAAACTGCTGATTTATCCCACCGGTGATGGTGGCGCGCCTCTGAAAGCGTCGCCGAAGAGGTTTATGTAACGTGTAGGTATCCTGATGACTTAACCATTCTTTAATTTTCTTAGTTCCAATTTCAGGGTGCTTAAACACACCGCCATAGGCACCCGGTCTATTAGGATCATAGTAATGTCTCTTTAGTGTTTGATTTTTTCCCACGCGTCCCATTTGGTAGCGCTTGTTTTAGTTTTCTTACTTCTGGTACGTATCGAGGGTGGTGTTTTTTCTACGTTTGTCTTCTTTTTCTTCGAGGGGCGAATATCAGAGTCAGGCGAGCCGGATTTCGTTTTAGTTTCAGATTCTGTTATGTCTATCGTTTCTTTTTTAGGTTCGGTTATGTTTTCTTGTGGTTTTTCAACCTCGGTCGTTGGGGTATTCACGGTGGGTGGTTTCACATCGACTAATCCTAGGGACTTGTTTCTATAATCGCTAAGTCGCGTCGTGTAGAGCTGTAGTGTCTTTTGGTATTGTCTCACTTTGTCGTGTGGTGACAAATCTTCCCTATTTAAGATATGTTCCATTTGCATATTCAAAAGGCGTAGACTATCGTTGAGTGTATCGGGTGGTACATAGGCTTTTTGTTGCATAGACTCTAATATACGAGGATCCATTAAAAGCATTTTCCTGGCCATCTTTAAAATCCCAAGACACCTTTAAGCACACCGAGAACGGGTCCGAGTAAAGCACCTAGGAAACCACCGGTCTGCAAAATTTGCTTTCGTCTTTTGACGGTCAATGACTTTTTGGTAAGTTGTCTCAAGTTCACTTTGTGACGACGCAAACGTCTCTTCTGACCGGGCGTGAGGGGAACGTTGCCTTTTAAGACATTGTGACAGCACTCGCATAACATTTTTACGAGTTGTGGGGTAGCATTTTCGACAACGGCTTTCACGGCGGGTGGTTTGGCCCGAGCCAAAAACCTTAACATCTCACCTTGTCGTTTTACCGACTCAGATATGGTTGCTTTTATTTCGGGACGTAAACGACTTGCTGCTCGTAAGAAAAGATACTACTGCGTAATCTCAGATTATCCGGTGTTTCCTGTCGAAGGTCGATCAACAAATAACCATGAGGGGCCGATGTTGCGTCCTTAAAACTTTCCTGGACATATGAAACGCGACCGGGATACATTTGTTTTGCCAAATTTGTAATTTGTGAACCGTCTCTAGGGTTCTTGAACAACACTATGTAATGCGAATTGAGACTGATGGTTCTTTGTTCTTTATTTTTCCCGAATAGGTTTTGGACAATATACATAACACTAATATTACGATGGTGACTCCCTTTCGTAAACAATTTTGTAATTCGCTCATCTGTTTCCGCCATCAAATCATCGATGACGACTAGACGTCGACGTTTTCCATCCCCCATTGATCCATTTTCTAAGTCAGGAAGACCTTCTACAAACTGAACGTTCTTCATGGTATCAAACAAAGGCTGCCACTCCCCGTAACAGTAATAAATTTCCTCAGGTGCAGGATCTATCATCTCTGACACCTGTGATAAAAATGTTTTGACAAATACTGTTTTACCACTCCCAGTTGGCCCAGCGATCAGTCTAATGTCCACACCCAAAAGCTTTTTAAACGTCTCTTTCATTTTTTAAATCGAATTTGTGAAAAATAAATTTTAAATATATGTTTTTTTTTTGCTTTGTTATATAAATAGTTTTATTAAACTCACAATTTATGATGTGTATGGTGTACCTTACTATTATTTACTCTTTACAGCAACACAATTATGAGCTGAGAATTGATATGATGTATAAAAACAAACCCTACTACGCCAAATACGGCACCTTTAGCATTGCAAATGAAGCCGACCGCTTCCGTCTTACTATTTCTGATTACTATGGAACCGCTGGCAATTCATTAAGTGCACAGAATAACATGCAGTTCGCCACAGTTGACATGCCTGACAGCATTGGTTGCGCAACAAATTACAAAGCAGGCTGGTGGTATAACCGATGCTACAGCGCATACTTAAATGGTGTATGGGTTGAGACACGCCGATTTCAAGGCATTCACTGGGATGCACTAGGTGGTACTATCTTCCCTTTACAGTCAGCGGAGATGAAACTTCGAAAGAAGAATTATTAGTGCGGGTGTTAAGTCAAAGTTGTACCATCTACCAACCAGAGTTTCTTTCAGACATATATCTTTAAGGGTGGGGCACTTGAAGGTTTTAAAGGAGGGCCGACGATACATTTGGTGGAGGAGTGGGGGATACACATCGGTTTAAGTATAAAGAAATTCCCTGTATAAACGGGACATTTTTTAAAAAAATTCATCATGATGGGGGTGTAGACATTCTTCAGAGGGAGGGAGGGAAAATTAAATGGTAATGCTTCAAACCCCCTTGAAGAGCTGCGTGAAAGAAACTCTGCTACTACCTTTAAAAATGTGTTGCATATATGAATCAAATTAGTCTTAATTCATTAGAATTCTTATTTCATATGTTAAAAGGTTTCAAAATTCGGACATAGGCTACCTTCAAAAATGGTCATGTTATTGTTATCTAAAATTATTGTATTGAAAATAATTATTTTGCATCTTGTATGTCGAAACATTAAAACTAAGTCAACTTAAATCCTGTTCACAATTATTTTAAACATGTCAATAGCAGTTAAGATCCTAGATTAAAAAAAATTAAATAGCCTTGTTTTATGTTCCATTAAAACGTGTGTTTGTCTATTTGCAAATATACAATAAATATTTGTAATAAGTCCCTCATGACACATACTATGTAATGAAAATGAAGCCAATAAATCAATCTCCTCAGCTATTTAGCTGTGTAAGCTGCCAACGTCCACACATTTTTGGTATTCATAAAATCCACTTTACAATTTAAAACTTTTCACATTCTATTCTATGATCGTGCAATTCATTGAAATACTTAGTAACTTTATATATAAAATCCCACGTCTGTCATCTATTTCCCGAGGCTATGAGATCAGTATCTTTAACAATACATGGTGAACCAAGAGATACGGACTTTTGTTGAAAATAATGCTTGATTTATTAAGTGTAAAAACTAAATGGACAATGTATTTAGCAGTGAAATGAAACCCATTTTGACGAAGATCAGGATTCTGTTTCAGTTACAACATTAAATTATACCTATACCTAACATGAATATTTACTTATTTAGTTGAAATCACTTAGATGAGCGATTAAACAATTAAACAAATTATCTGTGTATTGAGTACTACTCTTGTAGTCTACGTAGGATGGTATAAAACTAAACGTATAGTTAATTAGCAGGACGTAAAACTATATGTGTAGCTTATGTGTTAGGGAGTAAAATTATACTTATAACAAATGTTGCATAAATCTGCGATGATTAGCAGACAGCCACATACATATCTGTGTAGGAATCAATGCATTACTAAAAGACTGCTTTTATATGTATCCTTATTGAAATAAGTGTATCTGGCCACCTGGTTTGGATGTAGTCGATTGTTTGGTCACGTGACGACCTATACCTAAGCTCTATAGTCCCGGCTCTGAACTCGTCATTTCCGAGTTTGTAAGAGTGCCAGCTGCAGTAATAGTACTAATATACAAGATATTAATATACATCATCTTAACATTTTTTCGCCTTGAGTTCTGGGCAATATAAACTTTGGCTTAAGGAAGATCCATTAATTTTTGTTTGTTCTACTGCTTCGTTTTTAATTTTAATGTTCGAAGATATTTCATCACACAACGATTAAGTATTGCGTGTTAATTGTTATGTACCATGCAGAGGCGTAGCGACCCTTCCCGGCGCCCGGGGACATACTTTCAATTTGGCGCCCCCTTGGGAGCAAATTTTCGATTTGCACCCCCCCCTCGAACTTTTCATTTGCACCCCCCCCTCAAACTTTCAATTTGGCGCCCCCCCTAAGGTCGGCGCCCGGGGACATATGTACCCCCCCGCCCCCCCCTCGCCACGCTACTGGTACCATGTAGGCTTGTGACACCGATATCAGCCGGCTTTTCTTTCTGGAAGTGCTTCCATAGGTTTTGTCCATCCAAGAACAATCTGCAAAGCATCAGCTATTGGAAATTTTTGGTTAAGCAACCATGAGCTTCACTGACCCAACCCGTTCGGCCCGTAATCCGTTAAAGAGGTTTAAAAAATGAATTAGATAAATCTATAGGAATTTTGTAAAAAAGAAGTTCGCAGAACATTTATCTTGCTGGGGAGTTTTCGTTCGTAGACATCTAAAAACATTAATGTTAGAAACACAAATACGTACACAAAGACAAGAAAACACACATACAAGCACACAAATAGTTTGACAGCAGATAAACAAGCATACAGACAATTAAAAGAACAGATACTTTACACACTAATACGAAAACGTACGAACATAAATAAACATACATACTAACAAACACAACATAGACGCATTGCATGACACACACCCATAAACAAACTACCAACACAAAGACACACAAAATCACGCACACAGATATAAACACATAATCTAAACAGGCTAAATGTATTGATGCATTGTGTTAAAAATAATTCAATAGATGATTAAAATGGCTTGTTAATTGCCAATTTTTTTCGCACAGTAGTTCAAAATCATTTTGAAGATTGTCAATATCTTTGTGGTGATTGTCAGTATATTGGTGGAGTAAGGCTATAATCTTGGTGTAGATGGCCAATACCTTGATGAAGATGGCCAATATCTTGATGGAGATTGCCATTACCTTGGTTGAATAGGCATATTTCTTAATGGCGATGGTCAATATCTTGGTGGAGATGGCCAATATCGTGGTGAAGATTGTCAATATCTTGGTAGAGATGGCCAGTATCTTGGTTGAGATGGCCAATATCTCAGTGGAGATGGCTAATATGTTGGTTGAGCTTGCCAATACTTAATAGGAGTAGGCCTATATTTTAATGAAAATCGCCATAATCCTGGGGAGTAGATCTATATGGTATTCAAGATGGTCAATATCTTGGTAGAGATGGCCAATATCTCAGTGGAGGTGGCCAATATCTTGTTGGAGACGGCCAATATCTTGGTGGAGATGGCAAATAAATTGGTGAATATGACCTATATCCTGGTGGATATGGATAAATTACAGCCCAATTTGTGCTGAACCGCGAGAATAATGCTCACATTGATCGAATTTATCCAACCCAAATTGATTAGACAAATAGTCAATCTAAGACCTGTTCAATTTTACAAGTTAGGTGATTAGATTTTACAAGCTGGTGTATTTTAGTTAAGGGATTAGAGAATAGTTGGGCTCTTCAAATCCTTTTTACATGGAATTTGTAAACGTGTTTTTAAGATTACTTTACACACAATCTGAGAGTATCTGCTTGTAATGATTTTACCCTGGTTTTCTACATTTTTTCAAAAGCAATTCTTGCATTATTAGTTAGAAGAAATGGTGTAATGCAAAAGAAACTGATTGAATTTAAAAACAAAATGTGAATGTCGCTTTAAACTGAATGATGTGGCTGACAACGTAGAGTAATTTTTGCACGACCATAAAGTGACTGCGAAGTAAAATTACTTTCCTAACTATATTTTCGCGTTTTAGAAAACTTTTAATAAATTGTGATAGCAATTGATTAAAATACTCGATGTAGACAGATTTTAGACAAGATTTTGGAAAAAATATTAATGTTTTAAGAAAAACTCAACTGACTATTTAAGGGGGATTTGTAGGCTGAGGTGTGAAGTCATTTTATGAGGGGGAAGAATTTTTGTGACGATATGTTACAGTGGGGAGAAAGGGGGAGGTAGAAAGCTTGACGTCATTCGTAGATGACCCCCGAAAGGAAACCTATAATTTTGATGTAATACTTTAATATACAATTTCGTTAATTAAAAAATAAACGAAGTTACCGCGGTCTCAGAAAAACATGCTGACAGACACCATTGTATAACTATGTTTTTCAGACTCAGTGAGGTGTAAAACGTCGAGATTTATCAAAATCACGATAGCAATGTTTTGCACGCTCACAATAGTTCACCTGTACGCTGTACACGAAAAAGTAAAAATGAATGCTTGTGGATGGGTCGATGAGATTAAGCAGAACATCTGTTACTTGTTCAGGTGATATACGATATGATATGAACATGCATGGGACGGAGTGGCCTAGCTTTAGAGAACTGGACTGCTAACCCGTAAATCTTGATTTCGAATCCGGGTTCAAGTCAGTAGACCGCCCCAGAGTCTAACCAACTATGATGGATACCTAACTCACGTTATGGAAATTAAAGGCGGCTTGCCATTGAGTTAAACACATACCTTCAAATGCCGAGATCAAGAAACATAACACTACTTCATCTGCCCATTAGGGTATTAAAGACTAATAAATGACCACACTATCCTTCATATGCCGAGGTCACAGAAACAAGTTAATTCTACTTCACTTGGCCTGTAGACCGTCAGGTTTGAAAGGTAACTGTACTAGCTTATAAATAACCAGGACATATTAGCAAACACTGCCTTACTTACACGTACGCAAAACACATATGTATATGTTGTAATACACTCAATGAAATAAAAAGCAACGGACACATGTGTGTGGTGCATTTATGGGCATTGTATCTATATTTATAAAAAGCAAATCTTGTGGCGTACGTACGTATTGTTGTCATGATCGATTGTTCGGTATAGAAATCTAAACACGATCATAGATTCGTTTCATTTTCGCCATGCCTGATTTTACCAAAAATGATGGTCATTGCGCACTTTCTGTTTAAATTGTTGTTAATTTTTCAAATATTTGTATAGGGCGTATAGGCGACCTCATTACCTCCATTGTTAGGTCTTTGTAATTTAAATATTTTGCACTGTGGTTCATCGCCTGTGTCCTAAATGAACACGTACCCGAATGCAACAAATGCCCGAATGGACACTTGGCCGAATGCAACAAATGACCGAATGGACATTTGCGCAAATGAGACAAATGACTGGCATTCTGGCAAGTGGCTTACGGGAAAATGTCCGGCTCTCTGTCAACACACTTAACTGCAAACGTTTCCTAAGTGTGTGATATATCACATCAAATAAAAGGAAATCCAGTGATAATCTAAAAAACAAGCACAAAACTGAAGTTAAATATATTTTATTCGACAAATGAAATTATTTAAAAATAAACCTTCTCCATAATTATAAAGTAAACCCACAATACACAACACAATCCATATATAAAACATGTTATAAGTCATCGTGTAACAAACACTTAAAGACGGTTTAATATACACATTATGTTACACACCGGTCCTTCTCAAAACAAAATTGTGTCAATAACTATATTGACAATAGGTGGTTATATAAATCCTTATGGCTTTTTGATTAATCGGAAATAGTGTAAAATACTACTTCCGAGCACCGGAAATCACTCAAAATTTGACAGAACCCAAAGCAAAAGATCTTTTACTTATAAATGAAGTTTTGTTTATCTAACTCAAACTTTAATTACGTTATATGCTTTTGAGAAGCCGAAAGTAGAATAAGTGCCAATTTCGTTTACCAGTAGTCGCTGAAGTGTTAAAAGAAAAAAAAAATTTTGATAAAATACTTATACATGAAATTTCACAAACCTAGCTTAACCGTTTTTTTACGGAATTAAGTTCTGAATACATTCT